CGGCGTGCTCCTGCCCCGTCCTGTCCTGCTGCCCCCTAACTTGCCTTTTCATGTCTTATTCCTTCTGGCCCTGTTCTAGCAGCAAACAATTGTGAGTTGTCTTTTGGATCTTTTTGCTGCCCCCCACTGGCGGGGTAGGGGTGGGCATGGGCCTTGGGGTTGGGTGGGTCCAGGTTGCTGGGCAAGAGGCTTGTCTTCCCTCTCACTCACTCCCTACGCAGCCTCCATCGGCGAAGTATGGTGGGCGACACACAGTGACCATGATTCCCGGGGACGGCATCGGCCCAGAGCTGATGCTGCATGTGAAGTCAGTGTTCAGGTATGCCGCCCCCGCAGGGCCATGCTGGGAACTGGGGGCCCAGGGCAGGGGTGGGCATAGGGTTGGTTACCCCAGTCAGTCTTGCCACTGGACAGCTCAACTTGGGACGGGCTTCCTGTGCTGGGATGGGGCAGGGGCGGTGTCTGCTGACAGCCCTGACTGTGGCGTTACCCCAGGCATGCGTGCGTGCCGGTGGACTTTGAGGAGGTACATGTGAGCTCCAAGGCCGATGAGGAGGACATCAGAAATGCCATCATGGCCATCCGTCGGAACCGTGTGGCGTTGAAGGGTGAGCTGACCTTCGGGGCATCTTCCTGGGGTTCGCTGTGAGAGCTCAAAAGGCTTTGAGCCATGGTAGGGGTTTCCCGTAGGCCCCACCCTGCATGGGGCGCCCTGGTCACTGGACAGAGTGCAGCTCTGAGGCCCGCCTTTGCTTCTCACCCCTGACCCTCTCATAGAGCAGCTCCCCCCAATCTCTGTGGGGCCTGGTGGCAACCATAGCCAAGGTGACCTTGCTGGGTCTGGGCTGCTGGCCAGTCTGGCAAAGAGCAGGCACGAGGACAGACGGGGAAGCGCGGCGCGTCAATGGCCCCGCGAACCAATCAGGCGGCGGCGGGTCGGCTCAACCCACGTGACGTCGCGAGCGACGCGGCGTGTCCTCCGCCCCCAAGATGGCGGCGGTGGCGGCCGTCACGCCGGAAGTGGGCGTGGGAATGGGCCAGGCTACGCGTGCGCACTACCAGTCCGTTGACCGCCCAGGGACTTCTTTCCCCGGCAAGGCTCTCGCGAGAGCAGTGTCTTCGTGCAGGGGACGTGCGGTCGTGATCACTTTCCGTCATGGCGCTGAAAGTGGCGACAGCCGCCTGTGACGCTGCGAAGGCAGTTCTCAGACCAGTCATCTTCTGCCGTCCTTGGGAGGTGAGACCGGGTAACAAAGCCTGCGGGGAGAGCCAAGGTGGTCGCGGTCGGGGACGCTGCCGGGGCGGCCTGCAGCCTGATTGGCTATAGGCCCAGGCAGGGGCGGGGAGAGGACCGCGCGCTTCTGAGGATTGGCTGTTTCTGCCGTCCGTGAAGTTGGCGCTGGTCCTGCTTCCCCAGGGGTCTGCAAGCTGGGGCGGGGCCCGGGTCTGGTACCATGTCGTGCTTGCTTTGCGCTTGCTGCCTGGGTCCCCGGGCCTGGGCCTCGTCCCCCTCGGTACTCTCTGTCGCCAACCGCTGGGCCACCTGTCCTGGTGGAAGTGGCGGATCGGGCTTGGCCAGCTTCACCCCACACCCGCCCCCGGTGCTGACAGCCTGGAATGGGGGAGCTCGGAGGGAGGGAGGATGCCAGACTTTGCTCCCTTTCACCGCTGCCGGAACACCTCGATGAGGTGGGAATCCAGCGGCCTTGGAAGCATCAGCCAGCCAGCCATACCCCTGGGGGCAGGAGGCGTGACCTCTAGCCAGAGGAGGGGACTTAACATTCCCTGAGGACCCAGCCAATGCCAATCTCCCAGGACATGACTTTGCTCACCTTGTCTCCCTGCCCCCTCACAGCTTTAAGATTCGACGGCTCCCTTACACACTTAGTGAAGATGTGTGGGTGCACATTGGGGCAGGAATGGGGAAAAGTGAATAGCTGGTGGTGAGGCAGTACCCTGCCTGGAGACCAATGGCCCTAGTAAGGGCCCCCTTAGAGAGAAATCCCACCCCTTTGCCCCGACTGCTTAAGATTTTTCAGGAGAACATGGAGCCACCGGTTTGCCTCAGATGGTACAGGGACTGGTGAGGGAGGGAGCAGCTGCAGCCTTAAGTGGACTATGGAACCCCATAGGCAGAGGGACAGGACTTCATGTGGTTCTGCCCCAGGGTGAGGGTGGAACCTGGGTGACCCCCTCAAAGTAGGTGTGTGCATATGGGAGAGTTCTTTCCAGGTGTTGGGTCAAAGCCTGAAGGAGCCAGGTGGGACGGTGGATGTCAAGTTGGAGGGGCCTGGACCAGGAACCTTTGGGAATGAACCTGCCTTCACTCAGCCCTGCCAGTAGCCCTGCCAAGTCAGCCCAGGCCTCCATCTATGCAGCTGGCCACGGGAGTGGGTTGGAGCTGGGTCTCCTTAGTCCCACCCATGTGTTCTGGAAGCAGTCCTTGGGTGCTGGGTCTTGGGATGACAGAGGGGGCCAGACAGGCGTGGCCTCTGCACTCAGAGGTGTAGAGACCAGGAGGCAAAACTGCAGCTAAATTCAATGGACCATGGGGAAGGGCATCTGCTGAAAGGTGGCCGGTTCAAACCTCCCACCTGCTCCAACCAAAGGAAGAGGAGGCATTCTGCTTGCAGATTGAGAGAGTCTCAAGGCCCCCTGGCCTATAGGGTCACTGTGAGTCAGGACCGAGTCCAGATACCCAGGCTTGGTCCGTGTTGGGGCAGAGGAAGCTAACATCTCCCAGCGCTCTCTGAGCTCTTGCTTAGCCTGGTGGGAGAGCATCTCCCCTCCTGGCACCTTCTAGAGGGTGGCAATTGGCTCCTTCAAAAAGTCCAGGCCTAGTCACTGCCCAGGGAGACAAGTGGCTTGGCAGCTCTGTGGGACAAGAGGGATCTTTGGCTTGTAGGACACATGGGGAGCCTTTCTCAGTGTCGGTGTGCCTGTTGTCCTGCACTCAGGCAGTGCTGGCCAGCCAGAGGGCAGTGGGCAGCAACACTGGGTGCAGCCCCCTCCTCTCGGAAGACATAGAAATGGCTGAATGTGCCTGCTTGTCAATGTCGCTGCCTCACTTTGAATCAGAAGCAAAAGAAGGTTTTTGCAGCTGGTGACAGTGTTTGGGTCTGGGCTGTCATCGCCAGGTCCTAGGTGCCCACGAGGCCCCACGGAGAAGCATCTCCTCGGTAAGGAGCTCCTGCGGGGG